GGTCCACAAAATACAAAATATTTTTTGGCGGGAAAAGTGATCCCGCAATTTTTCCCGCCAAAACACTTGTAAAAACTTGTAAAACCTTTAAAATACCTTGTAAAATTTTTTCCCGCCAAAAAAATTTCCCGCCAAAAATTTTTTTGCGGGAAAAGTGATTCCGCAATTTTTTTGGCGTTAAATTTTTTGCGGGAAAATTTTTGGCGGGAAAAATTTACAAGGTATTTTAAAGGTTTTTTACAGGGTATTTATAAGGTTTTACAATGTATTTTAAAGATTTTACAACGTATTTATAAGGTATTTATAAGATATTATAAGATTTTACAAGCTATTTTATAAGGTTTTACAAGTTATAAGGTTTTACAAGTTTTTTATAAGGTTTTACAAGTTATAAATACCTTATAAAACTTTATAAGTACCTTGTAAAACCTTTTAAAATACATTGTAAAACCTTACAAAACACTTGTAAATACTCTGTAAAACCTTTAAAATACCTTTTAAATTTTTCCCGCCAAAAATTTTCCCGCCAAAAAAATTTCGCCAAAAAAATTGCGGAATCACTTTTCCCGCAAAAATTTATACGGGAAAATTTTACAAGGTATTTTAAAGGTTTTTACAAGTGTTTTGGCGGGAAAATTGCGGAATCACTTTTCCCGCCAAAAAATATTTTGTATTTTGTGACCTAATTTTGTTTCAAATAAAGGTAAAATGGTCATTAAAAATTAAAAGAGGGCAAACTTAAAAATAGACTCTAAAAGGGGGTATTTTTGAAAAGGGGTATTGAAAAAGGGGCATTTTTAACAATTTCTCTTATAAAAATCTCCCTTTTAAAAACTACAAACATTCATGGCCGTAGTTAATTATAACATTCCCCATTTTCGTCTACATACTCAACCCATTTAATTTCTTAAACCCAAAAAACCCTAACAAAATCTTCATATATTTCTTGAAATATCTAAATAGTTGGTGTTTTGGAGATCATTTATGAGATTTTCTAAATTTTTCAAAAGCTTAAAGTTACATTTACCGTTTAATTAATTGAGGATATACACACACATGATCGTCCATGAATCTAAGAACATGAAGGCTTTATGCAGATATTGACGTCATGATACACTCTCTTCTTTCTTGTACAACACAAACAATGTTTTCTATATGGGCCTAATATAATTAATAAACATAAGAAAAGTTTATGGCCTTAAAATATTCATCTACATGCACATCATTTGTTTTCTCTTTATGTTACCAGTTTTGGGAAAGAGAGGTTGCAAGTTTGCAGCAGCAGCTCCAGTATCTACAAGAATGCCACAGGTAAGAACTATTGTCTATGTCAAAACAGAAACTGAATATTAGAGTTATAGTAACCAATCCTGCAACTTAATTTTCAAAAGCTATCAAAAATTAGAGATGGTGAACGGAAAAAATAGGCCTTGTTAAAAAGATTGTATTTCATTCCCAATGCATTATAAAATTAATTTATAATAATATGAAGGAAACTAGTTGGAGAAGAACTTTCTGGAATGAATGCTAATGACCTTCAAAATCTTGAAGATCAGCTAGTATCAAGTCTAAAAGGTGTTCGTCTCAAAAAGGTATAGTTTTATGGGACATATTATACAAAAATAAGAGACATATTTTGGACAAAGATTATTGGTGCCTCTTATTGCTACGTTATTTGGAGAACCATTTTTTCTTTTTTCAGGATCAACTTATGACAGATGAAATCAGAGAACTCAATCGTAAGGTTTGTTAGCTAAAATGATCAAAATAATATGCTCTTTTGGAGATCTTTGATTTTGTTTTCATCTTTAACCCAACAATGTTTGAGTCTATTATAGGGGCAAATCATCCAAAAAGAGAATCACGAGCTACAAAATATGGTAGATATAATGCGTAAGGAAAATATTAAATTGCAAAAGAAGGTGATACAAATTCTTTTATTTAGATTTAAACAAAAAATGTCTATGTAGAAACATTTATTCATGTTAACCTAAGTAAACACTTGTAGTGCCAACAGGTTCATGGAAGAACAAATGCGATTGAAGGCAGTTCAAGTGTAGATCCAATAAGCAATGGAACCGCAACATATGCACCACCGCAACTTCAACTCATACAACTACCACCTCCAAGAGAAAAATCAATTAGACTAGGGTAAGCTTTCTCACTCAACACACTAAATCTATAAACTTATTCAATCTTATAGTTCTTGATCTTATAGAATATGTCTGAATCTGTGAATTAGGCTACAACTTTCCTAGCAAAACATGTTGGACATGGAACAGTATACAAAAAGAGGTTGTATGTCGACATCTTCAGTAACAACCAAACTGGATCATTTCATTCTTGGTTTTGTAATCCTGTCTACTACTTTGGAGTTTGTATATGGCATGTTTCTCTTTGTCAAATTACTTGTCTATGTACATCATAAAATAATGATGGGATGTGAGTGCCGAACATACTAGACATCATTTAACTTATTTTTTTTTTTTTTTCATATAGGGTACATTAAACTAACAAAATCCAGTAAAATTGGCATTTTTGTACAAAGTACTATCTAAAAAATTTGGATTATCGCGTTACAGTCGCGGGAAAATTTGATTTAAGGGTATCAGCGAGTAACATCGAACTAGTAAAAATGATAAGCAAAACTTGGATCTTTTTTTCGTTGGAGAAAATGTTGTATTTATAGAATTGTACCTCTCCTGGTTAGTATATTGAATAAAATGTTTTGATATGGGACTGGTCAAATGTTTGGATCCGGGTCGGTCTATGTGTATCGGACATGTACTAGGCACTCGAGAATAATTCACCAACTGCCTTTGTGTTTATCCGTCTGCTAGTCGACGACATGGAAATCTCGAGGTTTAAGATTACTAATGATGTGTGATTTGTAATGTTAGGTTTTCATTTTTTTTTCAATTAACCACACTAAAGTGTTGTAAGTTCACAACCAATCTATTGTAGTAGTTAAGGTATCGATCCCACAAAGAGTCACCTATTATATTAGGAATTCGAAAGGAAATTGATTAAACTTGAACAAACTATAAGGTGTTAGTTGGTGATTGCAAAAAAGTAAAAGTGCAGTAAAATAAAAGACGGATGAATTTGATATTAAAATGTATTACGTTTTCAGGCCAATTGCAAGAAATCATGCAACAAAAAAATAAATAAAACGAATGGGATTCAAATATAACGATCTCAACCCCATAGGCCATAACACGGTTTTATAACTCTTCCCTTTTGAAGATCAAATCACTATGCTTTAACACCCTAATAGACTCCCTTTTCGCAGGTTAAGACGCTAAGCTCATCAAATACTAGTTCAGGAAACCTACCATCACTTTTGGTGAATAGAATAAACCTAAAATTAATTAGAGGAAAAAAGATGGCTGGCTACACGAAGTATACGCGAAGACATGGCCACACATGCAAAGTTTAATAATGGATCCTAAACTACATGAACTATATGTATTGCATGCCCATATATACGAACTATATGTAGTCATGTCGCCAACATCACGAACATTATTTTCCGGTACATTTTTCGCATTGACCAGTTTGACCAGCGTTGACCAACATAAATATTAAAAAAAAAAAAAAATTAGTTTTTTAATATTTAGAAAATTATGTTATTGAATCATTTATAATATTGTATAATTAAAAAAATATATACAATATTCAATATAAAAATATTTTGTATATATATTCAATGCATTGATTTTTATAATTAGTTAGTTTCAATAATTTCAAAACTAAACTAAAAATAAAACAAAAACCAATTAGGTAAAATAATTATAAATAGAAAATTTTTAAATACTCTCTAGTCTAAAGTTTTTTTTATAATATGTTGTTAATTTTTTTTTATTATTAAAAGAATTTTTCGTAATAATTTTAGATACAAAAATTAACAACATATTATACAAAAAACTTTAGACTAGAGAGTATAGAAAATTTCATATTTACAATTATTTTACCTAATTGGTTTTTATTTTATTTTTAGTTTAGTTTTGAAATTATCAAAACTAACTAATTATAAAAATCAATGCATTGAATATATATACAAAATATTTTTATATTGAATATTGTATATATTTTTTTAATTATATAATATTATAAATGATTCAATAACATAATTTTCTAAATATTAAAAAACTAAATTTTTTTTTTTTTTTGAATATTTATGTTGGTCAACGCCGGTCAAACTGGTCAATGCCGGATTCCGGCGAAAAGTGTACCGGAAAAAAATGTTCGTGATGTTGGCGACATGACTACATATAGTTCGTATATGTGGGCATGCGATACATATAGTTCATGTAGTTTAGGATCCATTATTAAACTTTGCATGTGTAGCCATGTCTTTGCGGATACTTCGTGTAACCAGCCATCTTTTTTCCTTAATTAGATTGCTAAATGTTTTGATGGCCGGCCATAATGACTTGTCTTCATGTTTTCTGATTGGAAAATGGGAACGACCTCGAACAATTTGGAGACGAAAGTTGATTCTTCTAGCTTTCCGATGGCTCCAAAATCTTCCAATTCGGTGATCGGAAAGTCATTCATATGGTGTTTGTTATACTTCTGGTACTCTAGAGTTGTGATGTAAAATGCTTTGATTTGTATCATTTCTCATCTTCTTTACCTAAATAACCTGAAATGACTATGAAAACTATGAATAGTTAAAAATGCCTTCAAACTAATTAAAATTTATTAAAACTTTATAAAAATGATAGTAAAAATAGATAAAAATTAAATCTTATCAATGTATCATCGTTTTCATCGTTTGACTATAGGGATGAGATGAATATAATTGAATATTTTTGTGAATATACGTACGAGAATAAATAATTTTTTTTTAATAAAGATTTCAAAGACGGTGGCGCCCATAGGTATTGCGTGTGTAACGCTTACCTTACATAGTTTTGACACAAGCTAGACTTGTTAAACCACATGCCATCATTTTCAATTCTTTATATATTTCCTGCCTAATCAATCTAGCGGCTCCCACAGAAAATATACTCTCCTCCATACCAATCTTTGTTTATATATTGACGCATACATTCACTCTCCAAATTAATCAAAAGCTTATCTAGTTCTTGACATTTCAAAGATCTTTTGATCCATCAATGGCACCATCCGCTGCAATGCTCATACTCTCACATCCTCTAATTAGCCACAAAACGACGAATCAGTCTCCGTCGTCGCCGGCTGTTAAGTCGACACGTGTCTTTGATTTTGTTTTGCCTTGGAAGGCATCAGACGGTGAGGATCGTTCCGCGGTTGGTCTTGGCCGGCTATTTGGCGATCCGGCTACTGTCGAGAAGCGCTTCCAAGAAGCTCTTGAACTTAGCTGCTGGTAATTCGAACAATGTCTTTTTTCTTTTTGTTTGGGGCAATATGTAATGTATTGTGATTGGGTTTATTATTGTTTTCATGTAAAAAAGCCTTGTCTTGGAAATGAAGTGATGTAAAGTTAAAAATTGATTAGGTATAATTAAATGTATTCTGCTTTTAATTTAAGTTAAATGTATATGTATATATCCACTTTTAACTTTACATAACTTCCATTTCCAAGACATTTAATCATACATAATCAACTTGAGATTCATGCGATCAACAAACTTTACATAGCTTTAGGAATGGTTAAGACTCCTTTATCTACTTTGTGAAGGCAACGAAACGAAGGCAACAAATACACCAATAGGTGAGCAAAAGAGAGCACGTGGAGGCAAACATCCGAACCCCTTAGGTGATAAAAAGCAAGAATGGAAAACAAAATTCAAAACCTAAAGAGAGCTAAAGACAGACACATCACTTTGGTTAAAATTATATTAAAACTTATATTATATCCCTAAACTCAAGTTGACTATTGATATTCTTCTCTAGAGGTTAAAATATGTATGTGGTATGCTATGTCTAATTTTACATTAAAAAAAACTAGAACGAGAATTATTTTAAAACAAAAAAAATCCTAAAACTACATTTAATTTGAAACGGAAAAACTAATTAGTGAGCTTATGTTGTTGTTTCTAGGGAAATAATTGTTGTGCCATATTGGCCCATCAAGAGAAATATAAGATTGATACTCCTAAAGAGAGCTGCTAACTCGTAATGTGATCAAATAGTTGTTCAAAATTTATAAGATCTAGTATTTAAAAACAAGTTTAAAAATAAAAGTTGAATGGGAATTCTATTCACTATTCACACTTGCATATGTAAAAGATGGCTCATGATAAACTAATGATAGATTTTTATTTATGATGTATATCTATTAATTTTGTATAAAAAAGTTGATACATTGAGCAAATTATCCTTATTTTAACTGTAACTACTAAAGTTTATGGCGTAATATTTTAAGATCAAATTTAATAAATATATCATAGTTTACAAATGATATGAAGAAATTTGTATACGTTGTTTTTGTTGTTGAATAAAATCTAGTTTTGTTTGTAATTAATTAGCTGGTGTAGTTTTGACCATGTTACAGTAGTAATTAGCGTTGGTCAAAGATTAGACTTTGACAAGATCCAAAGACCCAAGATCCAAGATCCATGATCCAAGATCCAAGATCCGAGATATACCCAATCTAGATCCGACCCATTTAATTCATCTCTTTCTTAAGTCCTCACATTTCAATTTCAATTCAGATCGTTGAACAATAATGGACTCGTCGGAGATCGAAGTAGTGCCTCTAGATTCCAACTCTCACCAAAACCCTACCGAATCACCAACCATCACCGACGTCTTCTCCGCCTCCGCTTATGGCGATCTCAACCAACTTAAGCATTTCGTCGAACATAATGGCTCTTCAGTTTCTCTTCCCGACGCTAATGGCTACTACGCTCTTCAATGGGCTGCACTCAACAATTCCCTCCACGTTGCTCAATATATTATCGAGGTACCAATTTCTCGATAACTTAGGTCTGTGATAGTTTCGGTGTAGTGATGGATTTGGATTTGACATATCTGCAGCATGGTGGTGATGTTAATTCAGCTGATAATATACAACAAACACCATTGCATTGGGCAGCTGTTAAAGGTTCCATTGATGTTGCTGACCTTTTACTGCAAAATGGAGCTCGAATTGAAGCTGCTGATGTCAATGGGTTCAGGGTATATCTTCTTTCTGTGGTAATTTCATGTGTTTTTTTTTCTGCTAAAGAAGTGTGAAAATGATCAGAAGTTATATGTTTTGGGTTTGGCTAGTTTTCTTTAGTTAGCTAGTATTTCAGGATTAGTAGCTATAGAAGTTTGGTCATAGGCTTGAGATAAGCTTTCGTTTATCTTACGACATGTTTTGTTGTGCAGGCAGTTCATGTTGCTTCTCAATATGGACAGACAGCATTCTTGAATCATATTATTGTGGACTATGCAGCTGACTATAACGCACTGGATAATGAAGGGAGGAGTCCGCTACATTGGTATGACTACTGAAGATATTACTGGATCTATACAGTGTGTGTTGACAATTTGCGGAGAACTACTTTGAACTGTATATTTTTTCCTTGTTTGTATGACTCAGGGCTGCTTACAGTGGATTCACAGAAACAGTTCGGTTACTTCTCTTCCGGGATGCATGTCAAAATAGACAAGATAACACAGGCAAATCGGAAACTCTTAATACTTTCTTTTAACTGTATCTACTTGTATGTTCTAGAATTAATAAAGAATGGCTTACAACGGAATTTTTTCTGTACCTTATGATGTGTAAAGATAAGTGCAAAAACGGATAAGATTTTCTGAACTCCAATCTTTAGTGTTTGTTTATGGAGGGATTGTTATAGCATTCCAGACTGTTTTTGACTTGCGAAAAGTGTAGAATGCTGATACCCTGATGTATATTTTGCCCTAATTCTTACATTATTCACTTTGCTTGCCAGGCTGCACACCTTTGCACTGGGCTGTGATTAAGGAAAATGTTGAGGCTTGTACTCTGCTAGTTCATGCTGGAACCAAGGAGGAACTGATATTGAAAGATAACACTGGATCCACGCCACTTAAGCTTGCATCTGATAAAGGTCACAGGCAGCTCGCTCTTTTCCTTGTACGTAATGTTTAGTGTTGCTTGCTACCCTTCTAACATCCGTAAAAAGGAACACATCTTGGTTATTCACAATTAGTTTCTTCAAATGTGGATCCCACATTTGTTTGCTGGCTCGCTCCTTAAATCAAAGTCTCCCTCATATTTCATTTTCATAATCATTAAGTGGACAGAAATAGGTTAATAAGGCTATTTACAAAACGTTTCCTGCAAAATACCTTTCAAAGTTATTTAATTTTGTATTTACATTTTACAAACAGACAAACATATGAAAAAACAATAGCATTGAATATATGAAAGTTTGATATAAATATGGTTATAAGTTTACAGTTATTATATAAGCCTTAAACACAGAAAAGAAGGCAGCATTGTGATATTTGCCTTTTCTTATGCAGCTCTAGAATTTTTTCTCAGTATCCTTAGCTGAACTGGCTCTGATTTTCAGATATAGTGAAGCATCATTGTACTAGAGAACTTGTTTCTACTGTCTGTATTAGGGTGTAGATTTAAGAGCTGGCAATATGATAGCTGTCGGTTTTAGGGTTACTGTAGGGTTTAGAGTTCACAGGGTGAGGGATGCCTTGTTAAATGGTTGTAGAGTATGTTCAATGTTGTTTGCCCGCTGTTTTAGTTTTTCTTAAAATTTTAATCATTTGATATGATGTGCTTTCTGAGAATCCGGTTTTTGACATTTTTCAGTCGAAGGCAATGCGAACCCGTAATAATAGTTTTGTGGACAAGATCTTCTGTGGAAAACTGGGAGAGACTAGCTATGCTCCTATGTTGTTCAGCTTAATAGTCATTCTTATGGTCCTCTTCACCACATCCATTGTTTCAGGTGAATAATCCATATAGTAAAGTAGTGTGTGTGTGTGTGTGTTGAGGTTCTTACTAATGGACTTATATGATTTCGTCCTGACATTTTGCATTTATGTGTAGCTTCTAATCTCCCAAAGATAACTGCTATGGTTGGTCTGTGGGCATGTTTCGGTCTTTCATGTGGTGTTTACGCACTGATAACTTTCTATCATGTTATCAGGTATCCTTATTAGTCATCTTCAATTTATCTGAAATTTTTGTGCATATATATTTTAGTTTGATGTACTTATTTAATGAGTCGCGAGAACTAATATTACTTCTTCATTAAGAAATACGGAGGTAGACATGTGAGGCTCTAACTACTTTGTAGTGACCCTGAGAGAGGTGTATGTGGTGTAATGGTCTTGGAATGATTAATTAGTCTCTGTTTTCTACAGAAAAGATCCTGGGTACTTTAAAAGAACCAGTGAAGTTGACAGCCAACACACTGCCAACGTAAGTTGAACTTTCTTCCAATGTTTCCCTGTTGAGACAAACGTGAACATCCGGAGTAAACTGTTGATCTGGTCATCTGTGCTAGCAGTTTGGCATGCCGTTTAATTTGGGTTTATGCATATATATACCAAATCAATGTGCTAGTTGTTAATTGTTTAAGCTTTTCGTCATAAACATGCTGAACTATGCCTGGTTTAAGTAGACACCAACTGTTGTTCAATCGAACAGTCATAAGGTGTTGTTCTGAAAGGTTTGATTCACATATTATCTTCTGATGTTTGCAGGACCCTTTGATTGATATCAATTTCAAAAACCCCTCATGGAAAGGAAACTGGTCCCAACTCTGCCCCACTTGCAAGGTTTTCCTCAATCCTTATTTCGAGGATTACCTCGATATTTGCTTTGCTTTCTAACTACAATTATCATTTTTTCTTCAGATAATTAGACCGGTGCGATCTAAGCACTGTCCCACCTGTAAGCGCTGCGTTGAACAGTTTGACCATCACTGCCCCTGGATTTCCAACTGTGTTGGTAAGGTAAGAATCTCTCAGACTTGTCTTTCTGCAGATTGATTAGCAATGATATAATGAAATGAAAAATCCTGTTATGCATATCTTTGCGTTAACGTTATGTATATACCATTACTCACGTCGCAGAAGAATAAACGAGACTTCCTAGTCTTTGTGATCATGGGAGCTTTAACATCATTCGTTGGTGGCACAACTGCTGTTCAAAGTATGTGACTGAAACAACTCTCCCTCGCAATCTTGCCATTAGATTTTACAATTATAAAGCATCTGTTTTTGCTACAGGATTATGGAGAGGTATCCCACAGGTAAACCACGGAGAATCATGGATTAAACATATAGTCCTTGAACACCCCGATGCTGCCGTGTTTCTGTTTTTCGACTTGCTCATTTTCATTGCGACAATGACGTTGACAATCTCACAGTCTTATATGGTCAGGAAATCTTTTAGCTAAAGTAAAGAATTGGCTCTCCCTCCCCCCCCTGCAAATGATTTTATAATAGTAATTCTTGTCTGATGCAGATAGCTCGGAATATTACAACCAACGAATTATGGAACGCGAAAAGATTCAGTTATTTGCGGGGACCTGATGGAAGATTCTACAACCCATATAACCACGGCTGGCGAAGAAACTGCACTGATTTTTTTGTTCATGGCTACACCAGGGACGACGAGGTTGTCCCGTCTTCAATTCTCTGAATTTACATCTCCTCATCTCATTGTTACATGCACAAACCTTCTGATTCAGTGTAATGTGTATATAGATAGATATCTCCTCTTCGATTCATATGTTGCAAAGTGGGTTCAAGTTTCTTCTCCTTTACTTGACACACGTCTTACACTCTGTAATTTTTTCCTTTATATCACTCACCAGTTTCACCATAATGCTACTCAACCCCCCATAGTCTCCAATCCTCTTGATGAAAAATGATTTTTAAATGTCAAATGTTCCAACGACAAGTAAAAGATTTTTATTTGACTCATCCATGGATTATACTGCTTTAACCGGATCACTGGTTTTTGTTGGGGGTTTCTGCATTTAAACGGGTCAAAAAGGTCACAGTTTTAAGGTATAACCAGACCGGATTAGTTTCCGAGTCACAATCTGCCCAGTCGGTAACAATCTTCCCAGTCCAACCAACCAGATTGGTCAGTATTTCAAAACACTGCAGCTCTGTCACTTAGAATCCCATTCATTGGTTACATTAGTGCTTATAGTCCGGGTTTCAAAACACTGCAGCAATGGCATTGTCTTTTTCTTTTGGGTATAAAACGTCTATGGAAATAACATTCTGGTTCGCATTAACAAAAAACTCTGTCAATGTGCATGCATACGTGAATGTGATGTTTACTTTGTAGTAACAAACTTGAAAATATGAACATAGGTCCCGACGAAATGAACAAAATGAGCAGCTTTCTTTCCATCAAATACTTCATCCCATAAGTGCTTTCATCTTTTCATTGGCAACCACGAGTTCCGCTGCTATTCCTGGCTCATTTGCTGAGTGCCCAGCATCGTAAACAATCTACAGACCGTTGGTCGCGTTACGACAAGCAGCAAAAACAAACATAGAAAAAGATCTTGAAGAAAACATGGAAAAGACTTTATCCTTACCTTGAGTTCTGCCTCTGGCCATGCTTTGTGCAGATCCCAAGCAGACATCATAGGACAGCATACGTCATACCTTCCCTGTCCATTTTAATAATCCAGACCCAGTCTCAATCCCATGATATATTATGTATATAGCCAAATCAATGTTGAGTTTACAACGTGAGAAATCTAAGGCCGCGGATCACATGATCTTGTTGACTGTGTTTTCTATTTCTATTACCTATAGTTTACACAACTCGGCGTCATTGGATCAATTTCCAAACAAATGGAATCCACAATTCCAGTTCTTATATGAAGGATGTACCTGAACAATGGTAGTCTTGATATGCCGTATTTTATCAACATTGTCTAGCAAGTATGAGTCCGATGGAAAGAAACCTTTGTTAACAAAGTAGTGATTTTCAATCCTTGCAAACGCCTGCAGCACAAAGCCAAGGGTTGTTAAGAAAACGTTTAAAGATATTGTATGAGCATTATATAGCAACAGGTCAACGAATCCAGATAAAACTGGATATCCCTCGAACTAACCAATGAAAATTTATCATCTTCTGCCTTCTGAACGTTTTCAAGATTTGGACGAAGATAAGCAGTCATCATTTCCCATTTAGTCCAAGCTCTTGCAGCTGCATACTACAAGATCATAATAATGCAATAATTACTATTGTAGACAGACACGGACATTTATTAGTCCAAACTCTTTCGGCTATAAACTAAAAGATGAAAGTTCAATTGCTGTAAATGCCAAAAAGAACGATGATCAATGCATTTTATCATGTAATAGTGATTAGATCTCAACGTACTTGAGTTTCCAGATCATCAGAATTCAATCTTTTGTGATATGCATCTACAAGGCTACCTCTCTCGTTTTCTGGAATAAGATCTCTGAACTCCTCCCAAGCTTTTAAGAAACAGAAACAAACACTTATGAAGAAGACAAATATGGAATCTACTGCACTTAAAACTCTAGTCCCAAGATCAATAAGCTCAACTAGAGATGTAATCAATTCAAATCACAGAAGACTGCAATATAATGAAACTCAATAATTCCAACACAGGGATACAAGAAAAAGAATTACCATCAGGGTATATAGCAGCAGCACCACCCTCATAAAACCAATCAATCTCCTTTTTACGCAACAAAAAGATCCCTCTAAGGACTAAACCAGTAACCTTGCACCAAGAAAGTTAAAATATGTGAAATTATGGATTAAGAAACAAAAGAAAACTACCTAATAGATCATCTTCCAATCAATCAAATCCCTAAACCACCCCTGTTATTCTTCTTGCAACCTCGATTATGCAATTAGATTCCTAACAAAGTATCAATTTTCTCAGATCTAAGAACGTAAAAATCAAGATTTGCACCTTGTCAGGGTGAGACTGGCTGTACGCAAGTGCTAGAGTGCTTCCCCATGATCCACCAAAAACCTGAGCAAACAGAGGGAAAAAAATGTTCACGCTCTTACGCATATTTCCATCTCAACAACATCAAGAACAATATATATGGAAGAAACTTTCTCACCAGCCATTCCGGTATTTTCAAATATTCTCTTAGTTTTTCAATATCATTCACAAGGTCCCATGTGGTGTTTTCCTCCAAGCAAGCATGTGGTGTACTCTTTCCTGCACCTCTCTAGAAGAAAACAAGACAAGAAAAAGTTAAAGAGGAATATACAAGTTGGATAAATGTAATGTAGTGTCCACGAAATTCAGAGACCGACCTGGTCAAACAGAATAATGCGATAAAACTCAGGATCGAAGACTCTCCTATTACCAGGAGCTGTCCCTCCTCCCGGCCCTCCGTGAAGAAAAACAACTGGCTGCAATATGTTAGTTCCCAAAATACAATGGAAAAGTTAGAAACTTGAAGACATATAAGACCAAAGTTATAACTCCAACACATTTGATTTCATCATCATATCCAAAAAATAACTGATTGATACATTCAATTCTCACAGAGATAAGATAACAATGATGGCTTTACGTACGTGTCCATCGGGTTTTCCTGATTGCTCCCAGTAGAGTGTGTGAACATCTGAAACTTTTAAATTTCCAGTGCTATATGGCTCAATAGGAGCATAAAGATTTCTCTTGTTCACCAACGTTTCTGCTTCAGGTTCCATTAAATCACTCTTCAACACCTCACTCTTACCGCAACTAACGGTAATCGCGCGTAATTTAATCTTTCGTTGCTCTACTAAATATCAAACAAAGCTCAATTCAGATGACGATGATTTTGAGTTACAAGTTTAAAACTTTAGCAGTAACTTGAAAACTCCAAAAACCCCCAAAATTCAAGATATATCCTCAAGGCATAAAATTGTAAAATTAGACTAAATCATACAAAATTTTATAAAGATAAATACTGAAGAAACAAAAAAAAAAAAAATCACAGAAACCCTAGGAACTATGATTAAGGATCATGAGAATGATTAATGGACATGTGACAACAAAATCCTTATAAGATCGTAGCAGAGAGAGATAGAGTGAGACCTGAGAATGAAGGATTGAGAATGTTATGGTTTGGTGGAAAGAATCGAACACAGAAGCAAGGGGCCAAAGAGGAGGATGATGCAAGAACCAGTTTCATAGTATTTGACCCATTTCAACATTTTCTCCATAATAAAACACACACGGGTCGGATCCTTAATGATACCAATCGGGTTGAGATTTTTTTACCAACGTTAATCCTTATCTAAACATTACTAATCGGGTGAATATAAACTCGGTTTCAATATTGCTTGCTTAACTGTAGGCCTGGGAAAAAAACCGGATCCAATACCCGAACCGATATCCGGACCGAAAAAACCGGGTTGGAGCGGGTTAGGGTATTAGGAAATTACTTCATTGGGTAGAGTTTTGGTTTACCCGTGAGTATCGGTTCGGGTCGGGGAATACCCGTTACCCATTTAGGGTACCCATAAACCCGAAGCTTTTAGACATGTGTTTATATATGTATATAGATATATAGTCATATAGTCATATATCCCTAACTTTTGAGTTTAGACCATTGAGTTTCCTAATTTCCTTCCTTAATCCCTATTCCCTCGATAATCTCTGCCTAAAATCCCCTTTTGAGTCTCATTATCGAAACTGAAAACCCTCGTCGCGACACTCTCGGCGACCTTACCATCACCAAACATTCCGATGTCATGTGATTTTGGATAGGATTCACTCTTAACACTTAAGACTTAAGTAGTCATCTTTGTGATTTTGGATTGGATTTAGTCTTTAGATGTCATGTTTGATATTCTGTTCTCTTTATTTGATCATTTGAGCATGTACAATGATTTAAAATTTCGGGTATTGGAGTCATATTTCGGGTTTATGGGTAATTTTACCCATTTAGACCCGAACCCAATGGGGACCCAAATTTTTCGGTTTTTTTTCGGTTCTCATGCTTATTACCCAAACCGACCCGAACCTGACGATACCCGAACCGGACCGGAACCGAATCTTTAGAAATACCCGAATGGGCTATAAATTCATTACCCATTCAACCCGAACCCGAACGGGTTTTACCCGAACCCGAACGGGTTACCCATATGCCCAGGCCTACTTAACTCTACTAGTGTAAGACGAAAAAAAAAAAAACATCGACTACTGTGCTACTTATTACTTTTACTCTGAAGGCCGGTTGGTAAAGACTGTTAGTTTTAGTTGTAAAGACTTTGACGGTAAAAATTTTGGCTGTTAAAGTCTGATTGGTAGAACAAAACTGTAGAAACTGTGACTACGATTACTTTTTTAGGATTATATATATTCATAATAAATATAAATAATGTTATAAATGAATTCATGTGACAATAAAATTGTATTAATGATAAGAATTTAGGAAAATACAAAAGTTCATAAATAAATGAATAGAAAAATATTTTCAATAAATAAACGAAATATGTATTATTCATTCTTTTTTAATAACCAAACATTGCATTAAGAAGTGGATAAACTAAAAATCAATTTTGAGTAATCAAAACAATAAAACTATTAATGATGAAACAATTTATGAAATAATTGAATGACCTATATGAAAAATTGAAAATATATGTTATATTAAAAATACTATTCTATAAACTCTTTTACACCAATATTAGTGGTAATGATGAAAATAAAATGATTATTATTGAAATGGATCTTAAAATAAAGATAGAAAAATGATAATAATTAATTTATCAAAAAATATTTGTGAAACAATATATGTAAACATGTAGAGAGATTCTAATTATTATAGGGAGAAGAAAAAAGAAAGTATTTAATTATTATTTATTTTAAAATTTTATTATTTGTTTGAAAGCCTCGTTTTTAAGACTTTAAAAAAAAAAAGGAAACCAAAGAAGAGGAGCTAAAAAAAAGGGGTATGTGAGAAGTTAAAATAAAAATAAAGTCAAAAAGCCTAATCTACTTAACATTTTTGAAGTACAAATTTGCTCTTTCCAATCGGGTCGGTTTTTTTTTGTGATTTTGACCCGGAAATCTTCAATCGGATCTTTCCTTATTTTTTGGTAAATTAAAAAACGAAAATACCTAATAAAATCTAAATTATATATATTTTCTCAACTAATTAATATTTCTAAACTATTTATTTATGGTATATTCCTTACAAATTTTTTTTTTTTTTTTGGTAAGCATATTCCTTACAATTTTTATAGATTAGGAAATCAAATATAATAATTTAATGCTAATATAACAAATTTGAGCTAATTTCCTAAAACCTCTCTACCTAATTTAAACATAAATATATGATTCTCATTTCACTTTTATTTAATTTTATATTTATATTATTTTGAATTATTATAAAATATATATAGTTAATAAATTTTAGTTTTTTTTCCTGCATATGTTATGATTCAAATTTTTTAAAACAGACATATATTACTCAATCGATGAAGAAAAAAAGTATGTGTGTAATCTATATTAACATTTTTAAGTACAAATTGCACATTTAATCAGGTCGTTTTTTTTATTCTGACCCGAAATTGAATCATTTAGATATTTTCTTAATTTCTACAATTATCTAAAACGGGACAGTATACCACGGGTGAGATCCTAAAATTAACAAATCAAAATACAATCTACTTAACATTTTTGAAGTACAAATTTGCTCTTTCTAATCGGGTCGGATTTTTTTGTGATTTTGACCCGGAAATCTTCAATCGGATCTTTCCTTATTTTTTGGTAAATTAAAAAACGAAAATACCTAATAAAATCTAAATTATATATATTTTTCAACTAATTATTATATCTAAACTATTTATTTATGGTATATTCTTTACAATTTTTATAGATTAAGAAATCAAATATAATAATTTAATGCTAATATAACAAATTTGAGCTAATTTCCTAAAACCTCTCTACCTAATTTAAACATAAATATATGATTCTCATTTCACTTTTATTTGATCTTATATTTATATTATTTTGAATTATTATAAAATATATATAGTTAATAAATTTTAGTTTTTTTTTCTGCATATGTTATGATTCAAATTTTTTAAAACAGACATATATTACTCAATCGATGAAGAAAAAAAGTATGTGTGTAATCTATATTAACATTTTTAAGAACAAATTGCACATTTAATCATGTCGTTTTTTTTTATTCTACAATATAGTTATCTAAAACATGACAGTATACCACGGGTGAGATCCTAAAATTAACAAATCAAAATACAATTATTTAGTATTTTAAGATACAATTATAAATTATTTTTACGGATTGGTCCAAAAACACATACTAATTTAAAAATATATATATTATGGAAACCATTTGAAAGTAAACTTTTAAATTGACTCGAATTATATGTCTTTTATATAAAAGTGTTATTTAAAAAATAACAAAATGATGTTTAATTCCACAGGACAGAAGTATATGGTGGGACGGGTTTAGGTCGATATTAATACGGGACAATAAACCACGGGTGAAATCCTAGAATTAACAAATCAAAATTTAATTATACAATCTTAAACAGTAAACAAAACAAATACAACTTAAAATATTTATTTTTTATATACAACGCATGTGATCTGCGGTGTACAACAAAAAATATTATACACAACAAATTCATCAGTTTATAAAAAAAATAAAAAAAAAATCAAATAATTAACCCGCGGTGACCGCGGGTCATATCCTAGTTGGCAAATAAAAACGGGAAAAAGATCATTTAAATCATCAGTTGTCTATTTTCGTTGATTTAAAGCATGAATTCTACACATAGAACATAACGTTTTGGTGAGTCCGGTTATAGAAGAGGAGAGCCGACTAGTGTTGTTCAAGATGGCGGGGAATAAAGCCCGTGGTCCTGACGACTATACAGTCGAGTTCTTTAAGCAAACATGGCCAATTTTGGGGAAAGAATTTGTCACAGCGATTCAATCTATCTTCTAAAAGGTTTTCACCTAAAGGAGTTAATACAACTATTCTGGCTCTTATTCCAAAAAAGAATGAAGCTAAGGAGAAGAAAGATTACCGGCCTATATCCTGCTGCAATGTCATGTATAAGGTGATTTCAAAAATTCTTGCTAAGAGATTGAAGAAAATTCTTCCCGCCTCAATAGCGCCAAATCAATCTATGTTCAATAAGGACCGCTTAATGAAGGAGAATTTGCTGTTAGCTTCGGAATTGTTAAAGGATTACCATAAAGATTCAATCTTGGGGAGGTGTACTCTAAAGATAAACATCTCCAAAGCATTTGATTCGGTACAGTTGCCTTTATTGCTTAATGGGAATCTTCCGGAGAATTTGTTCATTGTATTCAGCTCTGCATCGGTACTGCATCTTTCTCGGTTCAAGTTAATGGGAAGTTAGCTGGGTTTTTCCGAAGTGAGAGGGGTTTGAGACAAGGTTGCTCACTATCACCATATCTTTCGTCATCTACATGAACATTCTGTCTCGAATGCTAGATAAAGCGGCTATGTGTCGAGATGTTGGCTATCATCCACGTTGCAAAAATATGAGACTCACCCACTTGTGTTTTGAGGATGATATCTTGGTGTTTGCAGATTGAAGTGCCCAATCAATTGAGAACATCTTGAAGGTTTTTGATAAGTTTGTAGCATTTTTCGGGCTAAATATCAATCTAGAAAATCAACGGTATTCTTGGTTGGCTTATTACAAGAGCATCAAGAAGACCTTTTCCATTGCTTTCCATTTGTATCGGGTTCTCTCCTGTCTGGTACCATGGGCTGCCTCTTCTCACTAAATGTATGACTCGATCTGATTATCTCCCTCTCCTTGAGAAAATAAGATCACGTATCACTTCATGGACATGTCGGTTTTTATCCTTTGTGGGGCGACTCCGACTGATAAAATTAGTCCTCTCAAGTCTCACTAACTTTTGGCTATGGGCTTTTCGCTTCCCAAGTAAGTGTATTAAGGAACTTGAAGGTCTCTTCTCTTCTTTTCTATGGTTTGGTCCTGAACTAAGCACAAAAAAGCGAAAGTTGCTTGCATAGATGTTTGTAAACCGAGAAAGGAAGGTGGATTAGGGCTACGGTTGCTATCGGAAACAAACACAATGAGTATATTGAAGCTTATATGGAGAGTTGGGTCTGCTTTGGACTCGCTCTGGGTCAATTGGGTCCAAACAACCTTTCTCCATAGTAGATCGATATGGTCAGCTCACGGTAGTAGTAACTTGGGCTCGTGGATGTGAAATTTTTTTTCGAAATATCAAGATAAAGCTAAATCTCTACATAGAATGGAGGTACGTGCAGGTGCATGAACTTCTTTTTTATATGATTCTTGGTGTTCTCTCGGGAGATTACTTGATGCTTTAGATCCCCGAGGCTGCATTGATTTAGGCATCTCCTCTACATGCTTAGTAGCTGAAGCGTTGTTAACGCATCCGTAGGCACATAATAGAGTTTCTGAACCATATTGAGACGAATTGGACTCCCTCGACTTTCGTTCTACTCAAACTGGTAATAACATTCCTCTTTAGACACAATTAAATGGGTCTTTCAAGAGTAAGTTCTACTCACAAGACACTTGGCATGAGATAAGGCAATCTAGTCCAATATGTGAATGGTATAAGGTTGTATGGTTCCAAAACTCAACACCTAAACACTCATTCATAGTTTGGCAAGCTATTTGTAATCGCCTAGCCACGGGAGACAGATTGGTCAAGTGGAATGGTGCCGCAAACGAAGGTTGTTTTTTCTATCAAGCGGATGTAGAAACAAGGGACCATCTTTTTTTCTCTTGTTCCTACTCCACTCACGTTTGGTCAGCTCTCACCAGTGATATGTTTGGATTACATTATACAACATGTTGGGCGTCTCTTATTGCCCAAATAACGACTTCTACCACTCCAAAAAATCATCTATTTGTATTGAGGTATGTATTTCAGTTTTCTATTCACAGTCTTTGGAGAGAATGGAATAGAAGAAGACACGGGGAGCCACCTACACCACCTTCCAAACTTGCCAAAATGATTGATAAGAGTATGCGGAACCTGCTTAGTACCTTCATAATGACAGGTTCACCCGATTTTGAAGGCGGGCTACGATATTGGTTTAGCACCATCGTCGCTAGCAATCCATTCATGTTGTAATCTCTTTCTAAAATGCTTTAGAACATTCGGCTCTATGTTACATTCATTATAAAACCGTTTTTTGTTAAATAAATTTTATATTTATACAAAAAAAAAATACTAATTTCAATAAACCAAAATTTTATACCATATCAATAAAATTTGGTTCAGCATGCAATTTCAAATCAAATCTTTCGCTGACCATAATAAGAAAAGAAAAGAATTCAAAACTTTAAATTCCAAAATAGAGGGTGTATAGGCTGACATGAGAATCACTAATATTATGTGAGATTAATAGAATAACTACTAAAACACAAAATAACATTGTAGGACCATCATGAACTTTTTTAGGAAAGTTTATACAAACCCTCCTAGAGAGCCGCTTGTGAGGTAGAAACAATAAACCCAAGTTCAAGAGAGCAATGTGAAAACGACAATAATGCTCTGTGTACAAAAAGTATGACAAGGACTTGACCATCCAACCAAACAATCAATACACAACCAGATCACAACTTATGTTCATGAGGGATTCCGATAAGAAAATGTTGAAACTGATGACCTTATGAAGATGAGGATGGAACAAAAGAGGGTTTCTTTCCATCATGACCCAGTGACAAACTTCTTCTTGTGAAATCGGCAAAGAGGAGAGGACACGCCGTGACTGTGACTGATGAAGGAACCAATGATGCTCAGTATAATTATGTAGATCTTGTATGTGTATGTAACTTCTAAAGAACATTCTTAATAGTAGGAAAGCATTCCAAACTCGGTATATGCAGTGTGGTGGTCCTTTGAGGACAAGTGCACTCTGTAGCATTTTGGTGTATTCCTACCGAGGCTGACTGTAAAACCCCTACCCCGTTCTAGGCCAAGGACGGAACATGAGAGTCACGGTAGACACCCGCAGTCAGCCAACCTAGGTTCCCGAAACGAATTTGTTCGCCTAAGTCGTCCAACCGTAGGTGTCGTTCCTCACGATCACGACACTAAGGCTTTGCAACCCGTACCGCGAACGCGAGTTGTGTTAGTCCGGACAAGACTAATAATATCATGGGAGACACGGGAGTTAATAAAATCAGAGCTTTATTAATAAAATCGAGTCTTACATACTATACATAAAAACTATATCTTACAAAGGCAAAGAAATCTACACCGGTTGGCCTAACGTCCTTCGCTCCCCTAAGGTCTCCCGACTAATGGTTGCCTGTAAAACAAAGTAGCGTCATGAGTAATCTAAGATTACTCAGTAAGTCCGGGATCTCTAAGAAAAATAACCCAACCCAACCCCAAACAACAACCAACAGGCAATCATTATGCAATGCAGCAAACAACTATATGCAGCGGAACTAGTAACAATAAGCATGCGTCTAAAACATAAGGTAAGGCCTTCTACGAATCCATGATCTCCCAAGGAAATGCTATGCACTCCTAGACACAAAGTCTATAAGAGATATATCATTCCCTTGTACTACATCGTCATGTAGCGCCCGGTCGGTAGCGAACCAGCCCCGAACCTTCGTATGCCATAACGGAACGGAGTTACACGCGACGCACAGCATACGGGTGGGATAACATGATCCGGCTAATGCTAGTTATCTAACTAACAAACAAACAAAGTATAATACTCGGACCGCATAACATCAATACCAACAAACAGCCGGCATAACGGTTATACGACCACGACTTTATACTATCAAGCAAATATAAACCAAGGGGTTTTAACCTCACATGGTTTATATAAAACACAATAAATCAAGCATACAAACATGCAAGAATACGTTAATAACATGATAACCCGATTATACGACTTAACGTATAACCGAGGATCCAATTAACTACGCTAAGTATAATTAACAAAATAATTAACACTAAGCGTAATTAATAAACCTCTAATCTAAACTAATCAAATAAATAAATAATTAATTAAACAAATAATTAATTAAATAAACTAACCACCTAATCGTGTGCTACTTCACACGACCGGAAAAACTTACCTCGACTACCCGACGCCTAGACTCGACCACTCTCGCGGAGGCTCGCTCGGGAACTCTCGGGTTTTCTCTCGAGTTTGGTGTGAAGAACAAATGAAACGGGAAAGGGCTATTTATAGGTGAGCAAGGTCGGTGGGTAAGGTCGGTTTGGTGGGTGGATAGGCTCGATCGTGCTTATCCGTATTTCTATCCGAACCGCAGATAGGAACGGAGGATCTTATCCGTATGCGGATAGGCTCGAACGGACTTATCCGTACAGAAGAGATAGGCTTGAACGTGTTTATCCACAATGGATAGACTTGAACGTTCTTATCCTCTCGTTCGTTCGCGGGAAACGTCCGTACTGACCCGTGAACTGCCGATAACTGCTCCGTTTGGCCGATTCCTGTACCGTCGCACCAAAACTGATTTTCTCCGACCATCTTTGATTTTTCCTAGACAATCTTCTATTTTTCTTCGATAAAAAGCTTGGTATTTGTCCTTGAATACCTTGGCTCAGCTCCAAAAATTCGTACTCTTTGATCGCGCTCGAATTCTCTTCGATAGTTTTTCCTCGGCCAAGTCCTAGTCTTGGTGAGGGGTATTACACTAACTAGACCAGTCGATAGGGTTTATAAAAAAAAAAGAACATTGTTGATACTGAGGATCGAACTTTTTGTTTTGTCCCCTGATTTTCAGGCACATATAGGTCTCTCTTTGTGCATCATTTCAAATCTGCAACGGAATAGTCGGAAACTACTTTGTAAAATCCAAGGCCAGTCTCTTCCGACGGGTTAATGCAGTAAGAAGCTGTTGCTAAGCCTAATTAAGAGCCCGCCTCTTTTACAAAAACTATGAAGCGGTTTCTACATCATCAAACGCTGTCACTCAGTTCAAAACAACAAAAGATGGAGATGGATTAGTCGAGAGGTTTGTAGACTTTAAGGTTAATTGTTTAGTCTCCAAAAGTTCTTAAGAGTATCACCAATACAACACTGGCCAGTCCATTGTGTTACTGTTTTGAACACTCTTGGTTCTTTTGTTTTCTTCCTTCATTCTATATGTTTTATCTTACATTTTCTTTAATCATAACTGATCAATGAAGAATCATATATTCGATTTTAGAACATATAAGTACTACATATCTGGAGGATCACATGACATATCACGGCTTATTACGGGCGGTAAACTGAAGATGGTTAAAAAGGACATGCTTTCCATCCCAATGACCAAAATACCGGCAAGATTCGTTTAGTATTACATAAAACTAAATGGCTTGTTACTTTCAAGGTAAAACACAGACGTCATTAGCACAGGTTAGTCTTAATCAGCATCTTCAAGTTCTTCATCTTCTGGCACGCCTCGGACATACAAGACGTTGTTGCATCTGTGAGCACAAAGTCAGAACATTAATACAATGGATCCAAAAGTTTCACTTCACTGAGAACTATTTCATTCAAGGAGACAATAAAGTAACGGTTAGACTTTCAGAATGCAGTAAGACAAGTATTACCTGATCAAGATCTCTCCAAGGTTTCCTGTCAATTGCCCATCGATGTACTCCTCGGTGTTTCCCAACTGCAAAACAGCATCGAAAATCTCAATGACTACAATGAATGCTGATCCACGTATCTGTATACATATCACTAATAGTAGGTTTTCTAGAACATTTTAAGGAGCATTTAACAACAAAATAACATCAAACTCTGTTTAAAATTTCAATAACAAGAATATAGCAATATCGAATTGCACATATAAGCTAAGACCATACCTGCAAGTTCATGTAGGAGTCAACAGAAGCGAGAAAACCTGTGAAAGTGACAATAAGATATATTATAAGCTCTAGTTATCAAACTGCAAAATTTCACCAGAAAAAAGAAAAATACCTTTGTATTCCATTCCCCATTTAAGCTTAACGATAACCGTCTTCCCGGTCAAGTTGTTCAAGAATGGTTTCGGGTTTACTGGTATGGTCTGCAGAACAATATACAAAGATATAAATCAGAGGATGAAATTTTCCTAAAGAGAACACATTGCTCTTTAATTACATCTAAAACAATAGTAACCTAAAAATCAACTATAATAGTGGATCAATTACAAACCAAGCTTCATACCTAAATAATGATCTAACTTTTAGCAATCTAAAACCAAACCCATCAATCCTGATTCGAAAACACTCCAGTATTTAATTCTAATTGGACAAATCAAGAAGAAAAGAGCTCGAATTTCAGAGCTTTTGCAAACCCTAATAATACTACTTAACAAGTAAACTATAACCTTGAGTTCCACAAAGAAATAAGAAATATGGAATCGAAATTTTGCATTAGCGAAGGAAGATGGAAGAGATTAAAAACTTACAGCCATGAGTTAGCAGCGAACGAAGATTTGTCGGGAGGTTTTTGGAACGATGACGATTTTATGCTTTTGACAAAACTCAAAAGTGTGTTTCTTAATCATTCTCAAAAGGCCCTATTACGGCCCATTTATTGTCCAATTTCTATTCTTGTGTTCAACCCAAACAAACTAGTATGTTTTTGTTTCTGTTCTAAAAATCGGCAAGCCCAAATTTTTTTTTTTTTTTTTTTAATTTAAAATTCAAAATGTCCCTATTTATGTTTGTAATTTATATAAAAATCATAAATTTGACATTAAAATTTTATTTTTTATGTATTTAATGCAATTTTAAAAACAATATTATATAAATTTTTTAATTATAATGGATAATATGTTTTAAAAATATTAAATAACTTTAAAACTAGTCTCCGATTACTCCTCGTTTAATCTCCGATTTTTAGGCTGGGCGCTAGGCCCACCTTCACCGTCTGACTAACGTCTAGCAATTTTTTTATGACGCGTGTTAGTGATGGAGGCTGTTTCATGATCAGCATAGTCTATGGGCGCGAGTGTTGCGAAATAAGTATAAAAGGGCAAATTCATAGACCATTTTTGGATGTTGGTGTCGATCGACACCATCCACTAGTGTCGCTTGACAACGGTCGTCACAGAAGCTTCAGACGAGTTTATCAAGTTTTGAAGATTTGTAGAATCGCCAAGAAGTTTTTCCTAATTACAAAGAAGCCCTTGTTCGTGTTTTCACTTATAAATAGCTAGTTGGGGTCATTGTTTATACCTATATTATCTCTTATTATCTTTTCAATACTTTTGTTCTTGAGTTTGAACTTTTTGGGAGATAATTGGAGAGAGCTTTTGGAGAGAGAAGATTTATTAACTCTTATCTCTTCTATTGAATTCCTTTAGGCAATTCTATTCAATTATGATTCAAAAGATACGATAATTCTACAAAAAATAGGACGAAAAATAATTGGGTTCACCCCTAGAGGTGAATCTTTATATTCAACTCCTTTATTTCAGCCAATCAGAATCTGTCACCTAATAATAATTAAAATTTTTATTTAATTATAAAATCTAATTTGTCATTAAAACAAAATTATGTATCGGTTTGGGTTTATTAGAAAGGGTTATGGTTTAGATTTTATGATTAAATGAGGTTAAATATCGGTTTGGGTTTATAAACGGGTTTATATTTTACAATTAAACGAGGTTAAATGTCGGTTTGGGTTTAGAAAGTACGATTAGGGTTTAGATTTTTTACGATTAAACGAGTTTAAATATCGGTTTGGGTTTATAAAGGAGAATTAGGGTTTAAATTTTGTAATTAACGAGATTATATATCGGTTTGGGTTTAGAAAAGAGTGGTTAGGGATCAGATTTAATAATTAAATGAATTTAATTTTATTATTACTAGGACTCAGGACCCCCGCGATGTCGCGGAGGAATATATTTCAAAAATCATTTAGAAAAATATCAAACAAAAAAATCCATAATGAATTGTAATAATTTTGAATTTTTTTAATAACAAATCAATATATATTTTACAAAAAATATGATAAAGAAAACCCTCACAAGCATTTATTAAGTATATTAATAATAGAAAAACAATAATTTATAACTAAAAAACTATTCCCAAGTGCAAAAAACATAAACTAATAAACCAAATATTACAATGTTTGATAAATAAGCCAAAACGTTCAACGTCAAATAAACCAAATGCTATTGTGTTAAATTAAACGGTAACAACAATTTATTTAAATATATTTAGTATTTAAATATTTTTTAAAAATATGACGAACTTATCCGAGAAACGCAACCGTAGATATCAAATATTCCAAAAACTGCAACGGTTCGTCAATTATACCAAATGTTGCAATAGTTCATCAAATATACTAAAGATAACAATGGTTCGTAACACAAAACCAAAAGTTGCAATAATTCGTCAAATAATCCAAATGTTGAAACAGTTCAATTAAATAGTTACAATCTCATTTAAATACATTTTAGTAATTAAAAATTAAGAATTAAAATAATAATTTATGAAAAGTTACACCGAGAGACGCGGCGGTAGATAATTAAATGTTATAGCTATTTATAAAATAAACCAAAAATTCCAATTGTTCGTGAAATAAACTAAATATATAAACCAAAGGTTGCAATTGTTCGTAAAATAAACTAAATATTGCAATGATTCGAATAAGCGGTTTCAACTGTTTATGAAGAGTTACACTAAAAAACGCAACCTTAGAAAACATTCAGAATGCAATTTATTAAAAAAAACATAACCGTAAAATATATATTTTAATTAATAAAAACATTAACGAAAAGTTGCGATAAAAAGACGCAACCGTTCAGATGTGCAAATGGTATTTATTAGATTGCTATTATATATAGATATAGCGAATTCTGATTGGTTAAAATAAAAAGGGATGAATAAAAGGATTCACCCTTAGGGGTGAACCCAAGTATTGCTCAAATAGGACAATATAGTGAGCAAACGAAACAAAAGAAGAATACAAGTAGCTTCCATATTATTTTATTTTGTTCTTAGAACTTTCATGGAGAATATTTTGCCTATGAACTTCTCACAAAAAATATTTTGCCTATGAACTTCTGACAAAAAAGTATTTCTAAAGGTCTTTTTTTTTTTTTTTACTTCTATTTTAGTTTATTATAATCTTTTTCTCTATGTCTTGCTTGTCATCTTACATGATGTGTGAGTAGTCATCTAGCTAGGTTTTAGGGATTTAAAAGAATTCATGTTTTATTCATAGATCTAAATCGACTTCACCACATGGATTATCTTATAATTCTTCATCTTCCTTATTCTCAGTATTGCACCTTTTTATTGGCCATATTACACCAGATCTTTGGTTGATTTACTTTTCACAAGTTTATAAAATATCTTTAGCTAGTATATATGAGCAATTAATGTGTCACAAGTTTAGTTTTGAAGTCTTATGAACAATATCAAACTTTTGAACACATTAAAATATGTTAACAACCTTATTACAAATGATAAGTTTAGTCTATTAAGTTTATAAGGATAGTAGTTAGCGCGCTAGCCACTGGGATGACTATAAATAGATGCTTTGAGTTCTAGAATTTCTTATTATTTTCTGCTTTTGGGTTTGAATGGGAAAGAGAGAGAAAGCAGTTCTTCTGCATATGTGGGTGAAACTTTTTATTTTGTCGTTCAAGCAATTTTTATAAACTGCATGTTTGGTTCAATTAAAATAATAAAATAATAGCAATTAAATTGCGGACCAAAATTTATTGAGGATTTTTTTTTTCATCTGCATACTACTGTAGAACGACCACAATTATGATGGATTAGTGGTGCATCCTCTTTTGTTATTAATTATTTATTATTATTTTCTTGAAACAAATCCAAAAATTTTGAAAATATTGAGTTAGATAATTTTTAATATCAACACAATAAATAATAAATTACAAACAGTGGAAATTCAAAACATTAGAAAATTTTGTCTTACATTAATTAATGAGAAATAAGATAATGATTTTACGTAGTAAAATTATACAAACTGAAATTGTTATCTCGGCAAAAATACATGGAACCAAACTGAACTGATCCTAAATGTTCTCAAACCGAACCGAACCGAACCTAGAAGCGATATACCCAAATATATCTTATATTTCAAATTTATATATTTGAACAACCATAACAGAACCGAATCTGAACCAAATTAAGAACCGAGTGGATACCCGAAATATAATTCTATACCCAAAATGTTAATTATATATCATTTTTGGTTTCCTTCAAAACTACATTTTCCTCTATTTTTTATTAACGAAATGTTTTGTTTTTTTTTTGTTTTTTTTTGGATGGTAGGTACTATTTTCATATTCATATATCCATCAAATTATATATATATATATATATATGTGTGTGTGTGTGTGTATGTGTTGTTTTAATTTAATTGAAAAATATATATAGTGAAGGAGAAAGCACGAGCGAGTTTAAAGCTCTAACCTATCATATAAAAAATATTTAGGGGAGGCTAGATCCTTAATTTCAGAAAATAGCTTAAAATAAATATATATATATATATATATATATACATATGAATAAGAGATACATCTAATTGGTTATAAATATCACCACATTTTGTTAAGGTTTAACGAAAAAAAAAACTCATTTTATTCATTCTTTTTAAGTTTTAAAACAGTCAATTCATTTATATCATCCATGATGAAGAAACCCGTTCAGCTCTCGTTCATTGTTACGATTATCTTCACCATTCTTGTGCTAGGTTTGTATTTATATTTATTACCATTTTAATATTGTACACAGTTTTGTAAAAGAAAGAATGTCATATTAACTCTTTGAAATTATTATCATAGTTCTTATGCGTTAATAACAATCTTATGTTGTTTACAAGAATATTTAATGGATATAAACACATATAATCGGAATGCCTATTTTGCCGGTCGTTTGGACAAAGAGTTGATGTTTTAGACATTTTACTAGATCTTGACCCGCACATACGTGCGGGGTTTCATTTTTTTAAAATTTTTTTAACAAATTTTAATTCAATATAAATTATTTCGTTGTTTCTATGATATATATTTTAGTGTATTATATCTGGATTCACACCTCCGTGCAGAGATATTTTTATAGAAATTGTTATATAGATTTTAAAAATATAAAATATTTTGTTGTGTTAGTAAACTTTATAATAGTATAAATATTATAAAATTAGAGTAATGAACGAAATTCAGTTGCGTTAGTGCATAGTTATATTTTAAGATCCTGACCTACACGTACGTGCGAAATTATATTTAAGATAAAACTAAGATATAATTTAGTTGCAAAAGTTTAATGATGTTACTTTATTCATTTTCTAAACTAATCAAAACATTTCTAATAGTTTGATTACATGTGCTAAATATGATATAGATTCGGTTTGAGTTTGGTTATTTCATGTATATTAGCTAGGCGTAACTATTTTGGAACGGGAAACCTATCTCGTCTTTTATATGTCATAAATTCTTAGTCCCATAACCCGTATCGTATACGTGAAATAAAAATATGACGGTCCAGTATCCGGCATAAATAGAATATGTGTAACTGAAAACGTACGTACAGTATGTAAACAAATTTATTTTATATAGTGCTCATAACCCGAACTCATACCAGTTGGGTATTTAGTTTGATTTTTAATTTATGTTCCCCTCCTATCCCGTCTCGTAATTCCTATTCTCATTTCATTCCATTAAAATCATGTTCCAAATTCTTGTTTGCTTACTTTTAAATACCATACAATACATACTGTGAGTTTTGCAGATTAATATATATGCTGCTAAATTACAAATATATTTTAACAAATTTATTAATGTTTCTTTCCTTAGCTAAATTTTGCATATTCTTCTTTTTATTGTTTAATCATAATTAATTTGATTTTTGGACTAAAAATAAAAATTTGAAATACATCTCTAAAAGGGATATGCTATTGCTGCATAATTTGTTTTGAATTCAAAATATATAATTAGTTTACATTATTTGAAAACTGGGTGCAATATATTAGAGATTTATTTAAGGAAGATCCGATTGAAAAACAAAAAATAAAACGCAAAATAATTTAGAAATTAATATATACAATCTATTGTTTAGATATTTATCAAACTTGCTCTAAACGAAGGCTATAATGATAATTACTTTAAATTTATTATTATTTGAGTTTATTTCATAGTAAATATAAATAGTTGTTAATATCTAATATCATATTTTAGAAATTGTGAAATAAAATTTGGTTTATATTTTAAAATTTGTGAAAATATTATAACAAAACTGAATCTTAAAATATTTGTATTTAATTTTATTATGAAATTTTAAATTCAATCTTAAAGTCCTCCATTGATAAATCTTTTATACGATAGTGTTTTTAATTTTGAATTAAAATGATATTATTTTTCTTTTTATTTTTGATATAGAATAGTCTATTACGATTGGTTTAGATAAAATCTTAGTTGGATATCAAATCTTAGTTCAATTCTCATTGGTTAACAATTTTTTAAAAATTAATTTCATATTTTCGTTTATAATTAATAGGAGAGAGAAAGTTAGTTTAATTTTTTGGAAATTAATAATTATTTAAAAGAATTAAACTATTTTTAATTTAAATATATTAATTTTGTGATTACTATTGTACCCTTAATGAAGTTATTTTAAAACACTAAAAACTAATGGCAATCTTTGTAATATCTTACACTTTATAAGGTTATTTAAGTTAGAATGATTCCCAATTAATAGTATAGATTAATATATGCTCAAAAAATATATTTCCATGAAAACAGATTAATTAATATTTTATGTTTCATCTATACTATTAATTGGGAAGCATTTTGTGAACTACAACATTGTGAGGGTAGTTTAAGACTAACTAAATGAATTTTTTACATGGGTAATTTAGTAAATAAACAACAACTACAACTAAATAAATATATTTGATTCGGATCCTTCATTAATTTTTTGCAAAAATAAATAACGAGATTAAATGATCCAATATATTCCAAGATTTGCTTCGTCAATATTTCTGGTATGATTTGTCTACAAAAACAAAAAAAGTAAACAGCATTAAATATTAAATAATAACTGAATATTCAACATCAATATTTTTATTTCGAATATAAATCGAAATATTTTGTATTTTTCAATTTGTTAGAGATAAAACAAAAAAATTCAACATAAATCGAATGTCATTAATTGAAAAATTCAAACAATTTTAACAATAAAATCTAAGTAATAATATTTACGCTATAAATATATTCCGATATTTTCTTATTTACCAAATATAACAAATTAAGTACATAGCCAAAAAAAATATGTCACATACATTCCATCCAATATTTTGTTTTGTCAAATCGTAATATGAAAACAATTAATAGTATAGATGTAAACGTTAAATTATTAGCAACTAAACTAAATTAATAATAGAAATAATATGTTTTTAAATAAAATTAAATATTTGCGGGTTGGTAAATACTAAAATTATAAATATTTATCAACGATATTATCAATTTTGCAACGAGAAATATTTATCAACGATGTTACCAATCTATAAAAGTTTATGATATTAATAGTGTAGATTTATACTATTAATTACAAAGAATGCCATTGATATTTTTAAATTTAAGGTAGGAAAATTAATAAACCGAAACGTAAGATATTTTCGTATGTATATTTAATTCAAAATTGCATATATGTAAACTAAATTATTTTCGTAAGATATTTTCGAAAATGGCAATCTAATCTAATAACAAATTATCATTTCGTTTAGATTTTTAAAAATTTCCTTAACAATACTATGCAAATTAATTCTGATTGGTACACATCGAAAAAAGATTTTCAAATTTTGTATTCCCGATTAGAAACAGGACGTGTGTACCAATCAGAAACATGGATGTGTGTACCAATCAAAAATTTTTAACACAAATGTTTTTTCCGTCACGTCCTGTTTCTAATCGGGAATACAAAATTTGTCTTATATTAGAAATGCATTCTCTTATGAGATATAAATTGGAGAACGGGTAAGATATAATGGAACATGATAAAATTGAATGGGAATTACGCCTATCTCTAAATATTTATATTTCTCGCAAACGTATTTAATCATTTTAACGGTTTTATCTACGGTTTGATAGTTTACAAGTTTAATATTCACAAGTTTAACAAAAATTTATCTGATCATTCACTCGATTCATTTTGATCTCGGTCCGACCGTTTGATTGTTACGAATTTTAAAATACTACTAAAATCATTATTATTTCAAATATTTCAACCAACTAATATGAGTTTTGGTTATAGATACTATAACTATATAAATACAAAACCAAATTAAAAGTCAAAAACTCTTTTATTTCAAAATAAATATGTACGTCTTACCTTAATCTATACTATTAATTGGGAAGCATTTTGTGAATTAATCTATACTATTAATTGAGAAGCATTTTGTGAACTACAACATTGTGAGGGTAGTTTAAGACTAACTAAATGAATTTTTTACATGGGTAATTTAGTAAATAAACAACAACTACAACTAAATAAATATATTTGATTCGGATCCTTCATTAATTTTTTGCAAAAACAAATAACGAGATTAAATGATCCAATATATTCCAAGATTTGCTTCGTCAATATTTCTGGTATGATTTGTCTACAAAAACAAAAAAAGTAAACAGCATTAAATATTAAATAATAACTGAATATTCAGCATCAATATTTTTATTTCGAATATAAATCGAAATATTTTGTATTTTTCAATTTGTTAGAGATAAAACAAAAAAATTCAACATAAATCGAATGTCATTAATTGAAAAATACAAACAATTTTAACAATAAAATCTAAGTAATAATATTTACGCTATAAATATATTCCGATATTTTCTTATTTACCAAATATAACAAATTAAGTACATAGCCAAAAAAAATATGCCACATACATTCCATCCAATATTTTGTTTTGTCAAATCGTAATATGAAAACAATTAATAGTATAGATGTAAACGTTAAATTATTAGCAACTAAACTAAATTAATAATAGAAATAATATGTTTTTAAATAAAATTAAATATTTGCGGGTTGGTAAATACTAAAATTATAAATATTTATCAACGATATTATCAATTTTGCAACGAGAAATATTTATCAACGATGTTACCAATCTATAAAAGTTTATGATATTAATAGTGTAGATTTATACTATTAATTACAAAGAATGCCATTGATATTTTTAAATTTAAAGTAGGAAAATTAATAAACCGAAACGGGTAATTGTGTATATTTAATTCAAAATTGCATATATGTAAACTAAATTATTTTCGTAAGATATTATTAGATATTTTCGAAAATGGCAATCTAATCTAATAACAAATTATCATTTCGTTTAGATTTTTAAAAATTTCCTTAAGAATACTATGCAAATTAATTCTGATTGGTACACATGGAATTTTTTTTTTTCAAATTTTGTATTCCCGATTAGAAACAGGATGTGTGTACCAATCAGAAACATGGATGTGTGTACCAATCAAAAATTTTGTAACACAAATGTTTTTTCCGTCACGTCCTGTTTCTAATCGGGAATACAAAATTTGTCTTATATTAGAAATGCATTCTCTTATGAGATATAAATTGGAGAACGGGTAATATATAATGGAACATGATAAAATTGAATGGGAATTACGCCTATCTCTAAATATTTATATTTCTCGCAAACGTATTTAATCATTTTAACGGTTTTATCTACGGTTTGAT